GCGTCGTTGGAGCCCCACGAGAGTTTGGCGGCTATTTGTGAGAGGGACGTGGCACGACCGTAGTCCTCGTGGGTGAAGCTCAGGATGGAGTGGATGCCGAGCTGTGGGGTGTTAGCCACGAGAGCAGCGAAAAGTAGAGCGGAGCCGGAGACGCACGACGAGAAGGAGGACGAGGAGCACGTAGCGCGTGGAGGTTGTTAGCTTGAGCAGCATCGTGCTATTTTGAGTGGTCGCGACCGGCGGACACGTTACGGCGCTTCGGCGGTGCGGAGGATCGGCAGATTTGGGCAACGTGGTGGGAATGCGATAGCCAGAGGACGTGCAAGAGTCAAAGACGAATGTTACGAACCCGAGTACGTGTTGGAAGTCCTACGGACTTGTATGTTCAGTAGGACGCGGACTTAGTAGTTTCAGTGCGCGTTCGCTTACATAATCACGTAGCTATGTCGCGCCTGAGCGCTTTTGTCACCTCAGCACTCGCTTTATTCATTCGAGGCTGAGGTGAGCACTATGGACTCTATATCTATGTTTTTTACTCACATATTGTAGTCACTCTTTACTTCCGTGTCCTACAGGTATTTTATACAGCACTCGCTTTATTCATTCGAGGCTGAGTCACTCTTTACTTCCGTGTCCTACAGCCCTCGTAAATTTTCACCTCGGACAATAGTACGAAGACACAGGACGAACAGGGATGAAAGCCACTGGCAGGACGGAGTAAAATGGCGGACAGCCACCGACGCGCCCGCCGCTGCTGCGCACCCGTCCGCCGTCATGGAAATAACATCAGCACATCGCGGATAACGCCAAGCGCCCATATTGCGCCACCACGTCTTGAACGTCCGAGCTGTGAGGTTAGCAATTAATACCTCCCTACACACTCGCGGAGAACTCACTAGACACTATGTCAAAAGATGCATCTACAGATCTAGATAACTTCTCCGTGCTTGTATACGCTAAAAATGCTCGCATAGCGGACACGCTGACCTACAGTTGAAGAATCTGTAGCAGAGGCAGAGAACGAGGTCGAGCTGGGGGGAAAGCATGACTAGACGTAGAGCGTGGAGACGATATCTTATATATGCGCGAGCAATAAGGTTCAGATCACGGAAGGACATGACAGCTTTCGTTCTTGCACCGTGGCCACTGCGAGAAGTCCAAATTGGGCAGAGGCATTGCCTTACATGGAATGCTGTGATGGTGGCGGCAGGGAATTTCCGACAGGTTGTTCTCGAACAGGCATGGGAGAGCCTCTGATGTGAACAGCGAATGCAACTGCGACCATTTTAGCAAGCCTACTAAACGAGAACTGACATGAGACCGTGAGTTCCGGTCCTCTCATGATGAAAAAACAACGTAGGTGCATATATATCATTTCGGATGTTCGTACAGAGCTGCCTCTTCATGATGTGCCCCTCAAGAGGCTTCGAAGCAACTGAATCCGTTGTCTGCATCGAAGGCGGCGGCATAAACATAAACCATAGACTGCAGAGATTCCAGATTTGAAATAGTCGTCATTTTGAGAGGCCTGAGGAAGGTCTTTGTTTCCCATGCCATGTTACAGAGTACAAAATGGTGATCCTTCAAATGCGCTTGCTGATGAGTGTCATCACGACCAATCGATCCTCCTGCCAGCTTGTACAGACTTAATTCCTGAATGTTTCCAGGCTCGTCCTGAAGGCTTCTTTTCCACTCCACCCCATCCATGATCGATGTGCGATGCGCAACGTTCTTCTGTATCGTCAAACCACACAGAAAGGAAGCCAGCCGAAAACCGAAACAAAATACTACGCACTCTCCGCCACCTCGCCATCCTCTCAGCCCGAGGCCACAGTTGCCAGCAACTCCGGGGCCCGCACAGTGATCCGACAAGGGAACGGCTTCACATGGCTACACCGACAATCGCGATTGGGCTGTCAGCATTTGCGCTATATCGACATTGCATAAGGATGATGCGAACCTTGTGACTGTTGAAGTGAACGCGACCGGCGGCTCGACTTCTCTACCATTCTCGTCCACCGATTTCGAGATGTCGAACGTGGCGAGGATGCACGAGATCACGAGAAACGCGGAGCTCTCGGCGAAATGAGATCCTAGAACCATACGTGCGCGCGTGAGTAAGTACTTCCCACTCCCGACGTCCTAATATTATAGTGGTAGTCGGACGGTACCTGGACAGACTCTCCGTCCGAATCCAAAGACGAATTTGCGAGGGTCAAGTTGCGGTTCGGAGCCCTCCTCGGCAAGGAATCGTTCTGGCTTGAAGGCGAACGGATCCGGGTAAGTCTCGAGATCGTGTGCTATAGCCCTGAGCACAGGATAGATTATCAACCAAACATAAATGAGCAGATGACGCGAATGGAAGTGCTCACCACACATTCGCATGTGCCACAGTTCCCTTGGGGATCCAGTATCCCTGATAGGCATTGTCTTCCGTCACTCTATGAGGCAAAGCTAGCGCACCAATAAGGATCGCCAAACTTCCAAGGCTCGAATGAGAACACACCTAGTGGTGCCACCGGGGCCCATCGCATCACCTCCTTTATGAGCGCCCCAACATAAGGCAGACTTTCCTGGTCGTCCACGGTCGGCAGCCTGCCCGCTCCCACAACGCGAGTGATTTCCATCTGGGCGCGCTTTTGCGCCTCTGCGTTGAGCACCATCAACAGGATGAACGCTGTGAGCAAACCGACGACCTGGACGATGCGCTGAGATGGATGGGAGCGTCGAGAGGAAAAAATGCGTACGGTATCGGCCCCGCCGGCGTACAGCGCGCTACTACACCACTTGACGATGTCCTCCTCTTCGGCGTCCGGGGTCGTACCGCCTTCTGGTCGGAGGTTCAGCGACGTGAAGGACTCGACGTACTTGCCGGATTCCTGGAGAACAAAAGAGGTTATGAACGAGGATGAGGGAGCACGGTGTACGGTTGTTAGTGTTAACTGACTATTTGCTGTTTTGCCCAGTTGTGCGGGATCGTGTCGATCCGCGAGAACTCTTCTCGGAACTTGGCGCCTTGTCGTTTGAAGTCTGCAAAGGGGAACCATGCAGGGACGAATCTCACTGCAGAAGAGATGATTACTCTACTCATCGAATGTGCGAATGCAAGGCACGTACGAATGGGGTATGTGTCAACAAGCCATCGACCCGGCTTGACGACGAGCGCGTGCAGTTTGAACGATTCCTCCATCAGCGAAACGAAGTAGTCGTTGTTCTCCGCCACAGTCCATCCATAAGCAACCTTGAGAATCACAGCGCCGGCATTTCTGGCAAATGTGGCGCGCTTCAGCGACAAGCCGACTAAGATGATATATCGTTCACTTACCTTCTGATATGAGAGATGAAATTCTCTGGTGACTTGGCAAGTCCGCGCAAGAGCGTATGCATCTCTTCCTCCTGAATCGGACGATAGCTTTGGATGGCGCGCGGGTTCAGGCCCGCTTGCAGCAGTTTGCGATACTTCTTGAACCGAGGATGGTTCACTGATATGTTGAACACGGCAAGCTTCCTCCCAGCAAGCTCCTTGTACATCCACATCATCGGTCGATCAGAATAGATAGCAGATCTTGTGTCGAGGAGATCGAGTGCCGCCTGGAGTGAATTGAGGATGAGCATCCTTCGGCCGTAGATGCGAAAGTAGACGAGAGGGCCTGTCCGACGTGAGTGAGCGAGGCCGATGACCAGAGCTTCGAGAATGCATACCGTACTGTTGCGCCCATTTTGCGTAGGTCAACCAAGGTTCGGAGGCTGGAAGTTGATGTACGTTCCCGGCCCAAAATGTAGATTTGGGACCGGGAGGGAGCGGGAGACGTGGAGATGAGAATCTGTAGACGACTATGACTACAAGCAGGAGCAGGAGCGACGCAACTGCCGCTGAAGGCTGATACATGATGTCACCCACGCGATGAGAAACGTTATTAGCAAGTAGTTGCGTAGGAATGGACGGGCAGCAGCAAGCAGAGGCGTCACTGGATGAACAGTTATCATACATACATGACTGGTCCACTGTTATGATCGGGAAATGGAAGCAGGATGACAACTGCTGCATGTGGAGTGAGTGGGGGTGCGCCGGTGATGTGAGACGGGTCATGCATCATGGAGTGAGGATGCATCGCGCTGATTCTGGGCCGGGTAGCCTTGCGCAGCCGAAACGTGCACGGCCGGGAGTTGTGTACAGATAAGAAGGAAGCGTAGACTGCGTTCGAAGATCGGGGCATGGAGAATGCATGCAAACAATACAGCTCCAACACCTTCGCATACCCCTCCGCATCCTCCGCACCCTCCTCTCCTCCCCTCTTAATATCGTATGTCGTCGCTTTCTCAGACGATTTTATAGGTCTGCCTAGGGGAGACAAGGAGAATGCAGGTAACACAAGCACCCACGACACGAGGCGCATCGTTGAAACGGTTGACACTGGAATGGTATGTACTCTAATCGAACACAAACATGACACTTGACATGGATTGATTTCTCGCGGTGGCGTACCAGGACCCTAGAATTCTGCACTGTGACAGAGGCCTGCTCATCATTGGCAATGACGAGCCCGACCTTTCAAGGTATGACTTGCCTTGGGGTGAGACTCTCGTTATTCTCTAGAGATCGTTCACGATTTTCTTTTGTACATGACTTGAGAATTTGCTCAGTACAAACAAGGGCGTACAACACCACCTCCGTCACCGCTGCGGCTTGATGACAAGGGCAATGAGCCGCTAGCGCGAGCGAAAACAGCGGAACTCGACGCCGTTCAGTTCCACATCAGGATAACTCAAACCCGGCCTAGTCGGATGATTTCATCTGCTTACCGTCACCAAAAAAGACAGTAAGTCCGACAAAGCCTCCGGACCTCGAGGCTCGTCTTGAACTTTCTCCCGTTCGGAACTTCTAATCCTGTGTTTATTGGTCTGCACAATCCATAGCCCGCGAGAACTAGTCAAAAGTGGAGTTCTGGAGCCACAATGTCATTCATCTGCCAAATCATGAACCGAGAAGCTGATGCGATGATATTTGCCGGATTGCACCATCCATCTTGCGAATCGTGGCGTTCACATTGAATCGGAACGCTCCAATGTCAATAACTCGGATCGTGAAAGCGGCCTCAAAGCGCCTCGCTCGTGGTTTGTGCGCCCGGCGCCGTACCCCGTGATGCATGGCTCTCGCATCATAGGCCCGGGTCCGATTGATACCGATAGATCACCACTTCTCATGAGGCCAGAAGTTTCAAGTTACAGCATGGAAGAGACGTGCCGACTAGAATGCATCTTCCCATTGGGAACGTGGAGGGATCGGATAACGGGGATGAAGTCGTATCTGCGCGCTCTCCCCGGGGCGTGCTCAATCCCTTCTCTGTGAGCGTAGTTCGAGATGCCGTTCAGTTTGACCGCAGCTGTGATCGTCGCCCTCATTGTCGAGGGCACTCTATATGGTGGGCTGCATCGCGACGAAGAAAATTGGAGACAAACTCACCAATATCATTTTTTTCGTGCAGGATTCTCTCTTGCACTGTTTAGTGCCACAATATGGGCGATCGTTTACAAACGCTCCACCAGGCGCATCAATCCCATAATGAGCACTGCGACGTTTGCGCTATCCGTCTTGAGTACGATGGTAGACTAACTCGCCCAGTTCACCTCCCGAGGCAACCTTACGCTGACGCACGCTTTCCAGCATGTGATTGTAGACGCCAGGCGCGTCTACATCGGTTGTGCCCTGTCGGAAAACTCGGAAGAATATTTCCAAAACGTTGCGAACGAGACGTTCAAGAATGCGATACACGAGATCGAAACTCTCCTCGCGGATGCCGTCCTTATGGGTCGCACTCTTCGAGACCGCTGAAATTAACATTCAGTACTGCCTCAAGATCTACCGCTGTTATGTTGTGTGGACGAAATTTTGGATTATTCTGCCACCTATCATCGGGTGGTGTGGTACTGTCGGTTTGTTCAGTTCCTTTTGCGTTGAATGCGGTCCAGCTGATCTAGGACTGGAGTTGCTGGTACCCACACCGTCTGGTCCATCTCCCAGCTGACAGGCTCCGCCAGCGAAGTCTTTGCTAAGCAAACGGCGCAATGGGTGATTTCTTTCTACTCTATCGCCCTAGCGACCAATTTCATCGCGACCAGTCAGTTCCATTATGCCTTTTTCATCACGTGCTCCTCGCTCAACCGCGTACATAGGACTGCTGGCTTGCAAGCTTTGGATGGTCAACCGCGAGAATGAGCCATATCGTTCTTCAAGCTCGGCGTTGCGGCCAGTGATGCTCATCATACTCGAATGCGGAGCGATCTACTCCGTCTCGTTGCTCTCGATGATCATTGTATACAAGTCGCAAACCAACGGCGCGTACGTTATGGTTGACATCGTGAGTTGCGTACCTGCCTGTAATGTGCATCACAGATGCTGATGTTAGTGGGCTACCAGATCGGACAGATCATCCCGATCACGTTCTATATCATCATCATCCGAGCTACGATGGCTATGATGAAATTGAGACACGGTTCGACGATTCCGCTCAGCGCGCCGGTTTATGCCAGTCCGCCATCTTCGACGCAGACAACGGGTTCAGTTTCTTCGAAGCGTGCTGAAGTTCACATCACGAAGTTCACGGAGGTTGGGAGAGCTCCGTATGATCATTCGAAGTGATATGCACCCACGTTTCTTGTTCATGAGAGGACCGGACCTCATGGTTCCGCGTCAGTTTTGATTTAGTACGCTTGCTAAAATGGTTCCAGTTATGCTCGCTGTCGTGAGTCAAACATTGCCTTTGGTATTGCCAGAACACGATCGGTATACAATAATGATAGTATTGCTATGTTCCAATAAGTAGCTACAGCTACGGAGCGATCGATCATGCCGCTGTACGAACGTACTATACATATGAGATCAGACACAGCTCCGAGAGATTCACAAGACAGGATGCTTGTTGGCCAGTAATATCAACATGTAGCGAAATGGGGAGCACCTACTGTAGCCTATATAATGTGAGCATGAAGCTAATCAAACGCCTTGTCCGCAGTTCGAGGAGCTTTCTTTTACCGCTGTTGCATCACGATGCACGAAATTTAGTTGTCTAAGCGACCTGGACAACAATACCAGTAGACGAATACAGTGAAAAGATCACAGTGAATGTTAATGGGTGAAATCGTTGGACAATCTACTCGTTGTCTATAACGTTATGTTTTGTTTCTTATATGTGATTTGTAGAATTAGCTAAAAGAAATACAAACCACCCGGAGTGATCTGAATGGATGACTTTGGACAAACCCTGGTGAAAGTATTTGCAAAGATGGTGGCGGTGATACCAGTGGGAAAGTATGCATACGCGGTCTGTTTCACTTAAGTAGCGATATCACGCATCGCCGCTCGCGATGATCTGTTTAGTTGCCAGGCAGCTGTCTTGATCCGAGAAAATCCCGCAGCTCAAAATCTGCAGGACCAATCGGTGAACTTCTTTTGGTCCGACGGACCTCTATTCGTCAATGCCATGCACCAACAAACTTCTGGCTCTATCATAGACTCTCCGCTCGTCGGAATGTCGCGGCTGGTCGTGTTGCGGATAGCGCTTAATTACCTTCTATGCTGTGCTCCCGCTCCCACCCCCCGCTCTACGCGCGCCCCATCTTCTCTACGTTCATCCACTTGGACACCATCAACATTTGATTTCCAGAGACAAAAATGTCTTCTGGAGAGGACTCAACTTCTATATTCCAAAATACGGTTGATGGTATTCGGGAGACGTCAGTTTCTCTTTCCGCGGTTGATCTTCTAGTCGTGAAATGCGCTGACATTGTGCATTCTCACCGTGAATCTAGTGATGTATACGCATACTCGTGTGTCAGAGTGGCTGGTAAAATAACACATCTCTGGCTATCTATTGAGTCTTTCAGCGACCTCACTGACCTATCATTCTTATCTTAGTACTCATATTCTACGAGTATGCCCTCACACTGTCAACAGAAGTGGAATCTGTATGGAATGGTGGAAAGTCTCTAGTCACTGCGCTTTTTCTCTTCAATCGGTATGCTTTGCTGGCGGTTGGTGTCCTTGATCTGTTGAACGGACCAATCTACTGGAGCACTCCGCTCGTGAGTACTTGACGTTTCATTACTGTTGGATTAAATCACTATCGGCACCTCAACTTGGCTTTGTAGAGGTGCGTGCATGTTCCTCTCAAGGGAATAGGTCGTGATTAGGCTTATACGCTCACTCAAATCTGCAGCTGCGAGACAACGTATATGTTACTGGATACCATTTCAATTGCCATCATTGCTGTCATCTCTGGTTAGCAGCAATCATCATAATCCCGAAGGTGGCTTTGTCTGACAGATATGCAGGATTTTCTGCTCTACGCGTGTATGCTATTAGCGGCCACAGATTGGCACCTGCCCTAATTACTCTCACCTTGGGAATGGTCTTCGTAGGTGTGCGGGTAGTACGTGCATCTTCTTAGTTGTGTAGCCTCTGATCGGCTGACGGTAGTGCAGTATTATTACATAGCCACTTCGTATGCGTATGTCAACCATGCCTTCGGCTACCCATACTGTGACTGGAACATACACGTATCAAATCCTCTGCAATTCAAGTGAGTGCATGTCGAGGCCTTGTGTACAGCATCCGGACGTTCATCATTCTGCATGTGATGTCAGATGTGCGTTCGCATGCCGAATTGTCACTTCAGGAGAGACTACAAAAATGGTTGTCTTGCAGTAACAATCGCTGAGCGGATCTGCGGAATAGGGGCAGATTTTATCGTTCTAATAGTGACTTGGTACAGAACGTACCATATTGCAAAAGACGCCCACCGAGCCGCACTTAAAACTACGATAGTTGTTCTGTTACTCCGCGACGGTGAGCTTACAATGATACTGTGGTCAAGTCGTCAGTAATACATTGGTTCCCAGGCACGTTATATTTCGTGTACGTCAAGATACTATTTCCACATACGAGGAAGCACAGCGTTCACCTAGGATCTTCCGTCCAGTGCACTTTTGATACTGAATGTGCTTGGGATCTTATTAGTAGGCGGTATCTATGGCAATGAGGTTTGCATATTCCTGGTCCACTGCGTACTTCTGTTAATGGGGAACTGAATAGAGTGATTGGAATGTCGTATCGATTTTCCTTGCGCCGTGAGCAGCATTTCCAATGATCCCAATCAATGTGATTCTTATGTCGTTTACAGCTTTTCATCTATCCTTGTGTCTCGCTTTATTCTGGACCTGCGCAAAGCCTCTTGTGACGATGCTGAAGGCTTAGACTACGACACAGGTGGCGAAGCAACGAACACGCAGAGCGTAGTGTTCGCTTCTCGCCTTGTCGGAAACATCGACACGGATCTGCGATACGACACGTTATCCAGTGATGTGATGAATAACGAAGAGAGCGCTGATGTGGGCGATGAAAATGATGAGGATGTCGCGCTGGAGGTGGGGTCTATTGTTAACGACTAAACATTTATATACTTTGATTCGAGCCTACGGGAGTATTACCCGCAGGTAAAGATACAATAGATGTGTCCGACATTGTAATATTTGGACGTAAGGCTGATGGATGGTCGGGCAAACGTTGCCATGACGATCGAAATGTTATGTTCATTGGCATGAAAGCAGGAACTGCAGTCATCATGGTGTCGCGGAGGCGCAGCTCGGCCTCGAACATCCTCGCAACCACCCAGGCAGTTCATGGCTGTCATCGATGTCCTTTCTGTCATTGTGCAATACTCAAAGACTAAAGTTCAGATGACAATCGGCAAGTACGGAATAGTCAGACAGCCCGCTACACGAAGAACGTGGTTAAAGCTTTGCAGCAGAGGGTTCCATCCACATAATACATGCGCAATACACACAGCAACTTCGTCCGATTCTCTTGTATGACCTATCCGTGAAATAGTGTGAGAATGGTACCTTATTATAATGGAATGTAAACAAACGAAATGCCCGGCTCGCTTGACGAATTGAACCATGATTTTTTACGCAATCTCAAGATGGTCTGGTGGACATTCAAGGACATGTCGAGGACTGTTGTAGGGTTTTCAAAGTCATCTTACTACAGCATGGTGAAGGCTTGTACATACACGAGGTTGGTTCCTTCACCCAAGATGCAATGTACCGGGAATTGTTTCTCTAGCATAACCAACTTGTTGGCCACCGCAAAATGAGCTTAGTAGTCGATGAAGCTGATCATTTCCTGCACTTTGGTGCACTTGAGTGTGACCTTAAAGACAACACGACCTGCATCCTCCATAGTAATGTCTCTCAGGCCATATTGCTGTGACAGGACCGTGAGGATGCCGTGAAGAATCATGATCATAAATCAGCTTACAGCATAAAGAGAGAGGACTCTGGAATCCCAAGCCTTGTATGGCAGGTGCTTCCTAAAGTGTTGCAAAGCCTTGTCTCTATCTTTGCATATGTCGCGCCTCGCATTAGTGGCTTTGTGGATTGCTTCAAGTAGTGATGTGCCAGGCCTGGCCTCAAGCCGTAAGCCGTGCTGAGCTGAGCCCAAAAAAGCCAAGCCAGGCCGGGCCCTGGGGGTCAGCCTCGCAGGGCTCACGACCCGGCTTGCACTTTAGGAAAGCCGAGGCCGAGCCACAAAGCCACGGCTTCATAGTGGCGCACCATTTGGTGCTGTACAGGATGAACTGGAGGGTGAGATACGTTGGAAGTGGCCGACCGACGGCACTTTCGGTGGAACGCGCTCAACGCGTCGGGAGGGACGAGCGCCAAGTGACGGCTGAAATGCGTCGCAGGGCAGTACCTGAAAATGGAGCGGGCAAGTACGGAAGGGTGGAAAAGCATATAAGTATGCACCTGTAGTACCAAGGCCCCAGTTGTTTGTGGCCTCACCAGCCTCTCACTCCCTTTGCGCCCATGAGATGGGAAGGTGCCAGCTGGCTAACACCCTTGCCGCACCACGATTTCCTAGAAGATAATGATATGTTACAATCATAATGAGTGCGGAAGACCCACCACCGGCTAACAAGTGGCTCAGATGATCCAGGACCGAAGCTCAGGGATGCCGAAAATGTCGCTGAGCCCGAGATCTCTTCCCATCGATGGGAGGCCTTGGACACTGCTTCTCACCCCGCACCTCATGCAGCATCCCCTGCATCTTCTCGCCCCACTCCTCATGCTGCATCCCTCGCATGTTCTCCGAGACCCTGCACCTTATGATTCTTGGAAGGCCACAACCTTTGCAAAGTGCAGCGCAAGAGATGCAGATCTCAGCAAAATGACCTTTGCAAAGTGCAGTGCAAGTGACATGGATCTAAGCAGAACATCTGTAATCGATGTTAATGAAGACAGTCGACTCATCAAAAGATCACAGTCTTCATGAGCTTTAGATGATGATGTGAGTCAGGAGTTCGAGGGGGATGTTGGTTAGTTTTCTCTGCTGTAATCTGTAAGTTTCTGGCTACTGACACTCACTCAGAGTCAGCAAGCATACAGCGGCAGGTAGAGCCAGCACGCATTCACCCTGAGGGTGCAGATGATGATGTCATTGTTTTTAACATTGATGAGCCATCGAAGCCTCCACAGGAGGGAAGGAGCCACAATATTGTACACTTTTTCTCCAGCTCCTATGACAAGAAGGTCAACAATTCAGCAAAGAGCCACTGTAACTGCAACATTTGCAAGTAAGTAACTGCTATTGTACAGTGATTTGATCTAACTACATCATCTTTCAGAAAAAAAGGCGGTGATACATCACTTCTGAATGAGCATACAACATTGCGCAGGCATCTTCAATCGGCTCACGAGGTATGCATCACATTTTTCTACAATAGGTGTGATTTCAAGATTCATATGAAGGAAGAATACCATGCATGGTGTGACAACAATGACTTCATATAGATGCTGCCGAAGGACACAAAGCACCACCGTGACGAAGCCAAGTTTTTTGAGCAAACACGCCTTGACTCACATTTGACAGAGCAGCCATGCAAAGAGTACATCATGCTGTACTCTGATGCGCTCTTCTGTGAAGCATTCATCGAGTGAATCATAGCAACAGATCAGGTATGATTTGATTACAGTTCTTCTGTCATGGCAGTCACTCATAACTACTCTATTAGCCAATACAAGCCGTTGAACACGCATTGTTCAAGAAGATGATCAATGTTGCAGCTCACGCAACCAATGGCGTCAAAATTCCAAACCGCAAGCAGTCACGCCATCAAGTAATCAACATGTTCAAGCAGCAGATGATGAAGCTGCAGGAATGATTGACGGTACATTTTCGCTTAATTTAATTGATTATCTGTGGCCCACTCAAGTCATTTACATAAACAGAGTGAAGCTGTAAAGGGTCTGATCAGTCTCACCTGTGACGCATACCAGGCTCCACAATGGATGGATACTTTGCTGTTACTACACACTGGATTGAGAAAGTACTGCCCGGGAAGTGGACGCTCGAAAGCGTGCTACTGGGCTTCATCTAGCTGAACAATGCTCACAATGGAGTGCAATTGAGATGCGCACTCTTCAAAGTCGTCGAACGCATGCATATTGAACATAAAGTATGCATTCCATTTATGCGATATGTGTGGCTGATAAAACTGACATCGCAGATCAGCTATATTACATGCAATAATGCCACAAATAATGACATGATGATGTCATATTTGGTGCGACATTTGCAAGCAGCGACAGGGAAGCCATTCAACCCTAAGAATCAGTGTATTCGGTGAGTCATTATGGAGATAATATGAATATCGTACCTCATTCATGATCTCCCTAGCTGTCTGGCACATATCATAAATCTCGCAACACAAGCACTCATCTTGATGTACAGCAAGTCTTCACATTATGATCCTGAGAAGCCGGACATGGTTTTGATGAACGTCGATGGTCCACGTCATGATCAAGTTGGTCTAGTGCGAGCAATCTCAGTCAAAGTATGTGGTTTTATTTCGCTTTATCATGTATTCCTAATTTCGCATCATAGGAGCATTCGTCTGCAAAGCGCAAACAGCTTTTCAAGGACATTCAGTTTCATAAGAAGGTCAAAATACTGCGGCAGCTGCTTCTTGACATGCCGGTTCGTTGGTCATCAACTTACGTGATGCTTGAGTGTTCAGAAGAGCTACGAGAGGTTAGTCCTTACTTATTATACAATTTTATGCTCCTTGCTCACTATCTGCTTTCTGCAAGTTTGTTGACATATTTGTGTATCAGATGGCGAGAGAGGAGAAAGATCTTACAAAGCGACAGAAGCTCGACAAACTGCGGCTCATGGTGGATGAGTGGGACTGAGTAAAGCTATTCTTAGATTTGCTTACAGTGTGTCATTGTCTCCACAACCATTTGTGTATACTGAATGGCAATGCAGCATTCAAATAATGTGCAGCAAGCATTCGCATCAGATCGAGGTCCTTCCCTCCATCTTGCTCTTCCCGCACTCGAAGCCCTTCACAAGGCTTGGACATCATGCACTGAATGCGATAAGTATGCAGTGTTCAGCGAAGATCAGCAGAGTCGGACGCATACATTTTCGCAATGTGTCGGTATATCATCCATTCATTTCATTGTTATCTCACTGACTGTCAATCTCCCACTCGCAGTGCTTGATCCATCACAAAAAATGAAACACATTCATAAGCATTGGGGAGAGGAGCTGCTGAAGGAGAGTCTCGATCATGCAGAAGGCATTGTAGGTACCACTTCTCGTCCTCTCTAGATGAAAACCAGTAATGCCATGCTAGTATAAGGCACAATATTTTCAGCTGTATCTGAGTGGCCCACCTTGTCCATCCATGCTGCAATCTGGTACAAGTGCCCATAGCAAGGTTAGATGTCTTATTCGTGAGCTATTCAATGATGAAGATGAAGATGATATAGGTGGACGTGAGACTGTCGGTGATCCAGCCATGCCATGGCTTGCTGATTTCCATGGCTATCTTAATTTGGCTGACATACTTGGAAATCATACCATCATCGAGTGGTGGGGGTGACAAGTTTTTGTCATTGAATTCTTTGTGACAGTACTGACTGAGCTCAGTTTAACACAGATAGATATCCCATCTGGAGCTCACTCGCTCGAGACTTCCTCACCATTATGGCATCATCTGTATCAAGCGAGCGCACATTCTCCTCAGCTGGCATTATCATTAGCAAACATCACAACTGTTTGAAGGCTGATATCATTGAAGTGTTGCAATGCTTGAAATGCATGCTTCGACATGCCTTAATTTTTCGCCAGGAGCCTGTTGCATTAGGGTTTGAAAATACTGAGATTGCTGAGATTTCAGACAACTCGGACCAGGGATGGGATGGGCTCATCTATAACCTCTCAGATGATGAAGGAGATACAGAATTTGGTGACGAGGATGATGATGTCTTTGTATCTACATTATGAATTAATTATGAATAAAAATCGCTTTTTTTGAGAAAAGCCAGGGCTTTGAGCTGAGCCTGAGATGAGCCAAGCCTGAGCCATTGATGCATCCATGGATCCTCTGATGACAGAACTAATCTATCACTAAAAGTCCATGTTGTGTGAAAGGGGGTGTGGACGACTGTATGTGGGGTTGCTGCGAGCCGTTCAGATCTTGGGTCCTTGAACTCGAGAGGTATTTAAAAAGCCGTGATGCCTCCACAAGGGTAACGACTCTGGCGGATTGACTTTAGGATGTAGAGTTAGTAAGGAATTGTAGTCAGTGGAGGAAGCTACTATAGCTGGGCTGTGACGAGAGGAAGCGTGTCAGATCTGGGTGGGCACGTGACACTGGATAAGATAAGATAGCACAGGATTGATCAGATTTGCGATATTGATCGCAATCGAGCAGCAGCCTCGGTAAAATCTGAAGAATGCGATAAGATGGTGTCACGGCGCATTGTGACTCCTGCCTAGAATGGCAAGGAGCTGGCTGCAAGGTGCTGCCTGTGTCCTGTGACTCATCGCCAGTGGTGGATGATGACATGAGATAAAAGGTGGCTCAAAGGGCCCCTAGCCTTATCACACAAAAGAGAGGATAATGGCTGTTGTAGGCCTCATGAAATAGGTGAATGAAACTGGGGATATCCAGTTCCTCATAGGTGCTTATATACATGTATGATAAAGCACCTGGCACTTGTGCTACTGTGAGACCTCTGGTACCTACATGTGAACATAATGTCAGAACCGGTAATGGTTCTGGTCTTGCCATAACAACTACCTACTATTGGCCATGAGGTTATCCAATGAGATAATTGTATAACATAGTGCCACCTTGTCAGTGACTGAAGTGGGACCACTATTGAGTGGCCAATGGGGTGTCTACTACTTAGTAAGGTGCCTCGGTGTCACATGGGATAGCTGAGCCTTGCGAGCTTCAGTGATCGTAGTTGAGTGCTAGTTAGGGGTCATGTGCTAGGGGCACTAGTGTGGGTGCTTGTCTAGGTCACGTGACTGAACGCATTCTTGGTGGATCATAAGTGGATCATAAGTGGCTTCCTGTAACGTCTGTGCCTTGTGTCATGTCTAAGGTTTATACCTTGGCATGATGCCAAAGGTATATTGTAGTGGAAAAACTGTGACAGATGGTCGATTTTACCAGATATGGAAAGTGCTGGATCCTGGAAATCTCTCAGTTGGTCAGTTTTGATTAGAAATGTGATATTGATCGCAACCTGTCAGGGCACCCAATAGAAGGGTGTGTGAAAGGTTAGCTGTGATCAGCAATGAGGTAACTCTGGAAATAAGATGATGAATGTAAAAACTGGTGGCGTAGTGTGGGAAGTTGTCTGGACATTGTTGGGTTTGCTAACTGTACGATAGTTTGGTAAAGTCACTGCTCCGTGTATTGAGCGCTTCTAGAATATTTCTGATAACGATAAGCGAGACCTGCAGTATACTGATTTAGAGACTTAGCAAATGCTTTCGAGAGCTGAGACATAGCATGGTGCATAGTAAGGTGAGAGAGAGCTGTACTCAGAGATTCCTTGGGTAGTCTGGATTGATTTCTTTTTTTTTGCTATTTACACCACCTCTACTTACATATATACTTGATACGCTAACTGCTCCGAAGTCCGTAAAATGGCATGTTCAGGCCAAAATAGTTAATTTTTGTGGTGTGATAGACTAGTCTTGCACGATGCGTATCTTCTCATGCTTTTGTTAGCCTGAAACACATGGCTGCCCTCATTCCCTTGCTCCCTAGGCACTTCGCTCTTGTATTTCTGCCTTCCATATCTCGCACCCTGTATTTTACACTGAGTGTTGTATTCCCAGTGCCTCGCTGTTCAGGTGCTGGTGGCTTCTTGTCTGTTCGCTGCCACGGCCTTCACTAAACCTGGCTACTTTCCCTCCAGAGGCCCCATCTTCCTTCATTTCATCTCTCAGCTTCACAGGTTCTGTCTGCCCCCTTCAGCTACTCCTGAGTTGTCAGTCCTTGCCTTCCTTGTTTAGGCATTCCTTTATGTTCGTTTCTCAGATGGACAGACTTCATGCATGTCACCGTCTCTCTCAGATCCAGCTTTCATTCATGATAGGCCTGAGCCTGCTGAAGCTGGGCATAAGCTGGGGCTTTTGAGCTGAGCCAGGCCTGGCACATCACTAGCTTCAAGATTAGCAATACATTCTTCTCACTGCTGCTCAAATTCGATGAGGGTGATTAGAGTAGGTTCAACGAATATCATGAACTTATAAGGTGTCTGTTCCATTGTGAGATCATGAATGGATCACAATGTATTGAACATCAATTAGGATGTGCTCATACATATGTGCTCATATATATGATGAGCTATAGCACACATTGCTGTGACCCCAACAGAGTGAGTTATGCTGACGATTCGATAGCCTCACAAATGTTCTGAACCCAACAAAGCTTCAATCCTGTAGCATACTCTGTAACAGCTATGCTCACATCAGCTTGCTACAGAACTCATTCAGCATGAGGCGATCTCACAAAGACCTGAATTGAGCAGTGGAGCATTAATAATAGCAGCCTCCCCGTGACTTTGCCAATCAACTGACCAAGCCTCCCATATCAGCGAACTTGTGCCTTTCGATTTGAGATATTCGATAATGGGCTCCCAAATCGACTTGTCTGTCCTGAGCATGTGAGGTGTGCAAAATTCAACAGTCTCGACAGCAGCTGTCACATATGTGCTCCTGTACAATGTGTGAACAATAAAGTGTAGCCAGCTTCAGCGGGCATAGAAGGGACATGATAACGGTTCACCACTAGCTTGAGCCCCAGAAGCGTGGCAGCAGAATAAGAGAGAACAATAGTAGTGGCACTGATTGGAGATGACATCCACATAGCATGCAGTACAGAAATGAAGGATGCAGGTCACCAGGAAAACTCAAGATTTGGCTTCTCATGGTGGGTTCAGCCACTTGCTGTTATCCAAAAAGACAACAAGTGCTCAGTCAAAAAAGAGGTTGCTGTCAGCTGAGTCCTGGAAGCTGATCTGGGTTTCCTGGTGAAGGTGAATCAGGAACCTGATGCTTCAACACTGAATTACAGCCCTTGCCAGTGTCCATCACATCAGGCCATCACCACTGTAGAAGCCAAGACCACCGTAGATATTTTGAGAGATTTTGAGCTGATGAGATTGATATTCTGATAGCATTATACCGAAGATTCAGTGAAGAGCATTTTCAAGACAATAATTAAAGCTCTGCTAATTGAGTGATGGCAGGTGTCAGTGATGCATGACAGCAAGTGACAGGTCACAGAATGTTTGCTTGACTGAGACCTTTGATACGGCAGCCCTTAGGAGAGGTCTGATGCTCAAGTGAGGTTGCTCATCATCACGTACAATGAGCAGCAGCCAATTATGATGAGCATGAGGCCAATGCGAATCAGCCAATTATAATGTACTGGGCAATTTTATGCTGTGTAAAGTTGCAAGTTATCAGCAATGCATGGATAAAGACATCTCGCAAGCTCCACGAATGTCGCAAATGCCTCAGATATCAGAAATTGTCACAACTCTAGGAAATTATGGCATGACCCTAGTGTGACTACCAGCCACCACCTTGCTGTCTCATGGGTGCAAGGAGTGAGAAACTGATTAGGGTAACAAATGACTGGGGAATAGCTACCACAGATGAGTTTTATATATACCTTTTTTTTATCTCTCCATACTCACCCGCTGATGAGCATGGGAGTGAGCTGAGCATGAAGCACGAGGCAAGCAGCAGGCAAGCCCGGGCAGCCAACCAACCCTTTGTCATACCAACTGCCTCCGAGGCATGCATACTACACGAGGTGGTCAGAGCAGGCAAAGGTGATCTCGATTGAGCAAGGCAGGGCAGGAAGATAGCCACAGCCCGGTGTGCCTTCCAGAAGAACCAAGGAGTGGAGGCAGTACCAATGATCAAGGACGAACTGCTCAAACGAGCATAGCGATAGCAGGGTATTATTTACGGCATTGACTGACTACTTTCCTCTTACAAGTTTCAGATTTCAAATGCGTTTCAGATACACTTCTAGTCTCTGGAAGCAGAGCATGGACACATCACATAGTAATGAACAGTTCGGCAATGAGCTGTCCATTGTAGTATATAAACTTGGTTACAGTTGGCAATAAAGAACATCGACTCAGAGGGGGTCGCAGCAGCAGACCTCTCCATACCTTCACAGTCCTACTCCACTCTACACATCTCATCCTGATATCTGTCTAATTGCTTAACTATTAATTGCGTTCTATCAAACTCGATAATTTCATTAACGAAGTCTGCGCTACGAACGACTCGCACCACAAGCCCAGGGATAAAGGTGATCGCCTAGGCTCAGTATGGTCTTTTACGTGCAGTCCATCAGTTAACTTGTTCTATCGGAGCCAGGAAGACTTTAGCTGTCACGCACTATAGGGAATGAAGTGATCGAATGCATCAAACGAAATCCAGCTGAGTCCAGCGGTAGCAGATGAACAGGTTCCATTTTAGGGATTTGTTTTCCACAGTCTGGATTAGGTGTTCAACTCATATTTGCGAACAGCAAACAAGCGCCGAGGTCGATTTGTGAACAAAACACCAACAATCCTAAACAAGAGACTGCTAGCACTGAGAAGGACATCCAGTTCGAACGATCGCACCTAGCAGATCTGCGAACAAACCTTTAGTGCCCAGACAGCATTTACGAACAATCGATTGCCGTGCAGACACATTTGCGAACAATTCGAAGCATGAAGCTGATGTAACATGGGACATTTATCTCAAAATGGTAATGCACACATGTGAAGCCAGTGTCCTGTCCTAGTCCCAGTCGGCAGGTCAGCCAGCTGAATGAAACCATCTGCATCACACCTATCCACCGAACCCTTCAGGTGACACACTCGTCCACTACTCACATACATACCACCCATAATCAACCCTGTCACAGAGTCCAGTAGCAAGAGACCTGCAGGCCTCGCACATTTCAAGAAAAGAGTCATCTCCCTGTACCATCATGCCATCAGAGACAGAGCAGAGCAGTTGATACTCACCTCACTCCGCAATGAAGTGATCGGTACTGCCTGACCACGGACCATAGGGAGGTGGCATCAGAGCATATCACCACTCCATTGTTGCTTGACGCTCGTCCCTCCTGATGCATTGAGCGCATTCCACTAAAAGTGCCATTGGTTAGCCACTTCCAACAACAACCTCATTCAGTTGATCCCATCTCATCGGAACTAGTCGCACGGCAAAGTTTCTTACCTCATGCCCACAAATTGATTGTAGCACCAGAGCTGGGTCATCAAGCAAGTTGACTTGCTATGCAGTCTGTGATGCAGTTTAAAGTTCATGTGAATGATTTGTCTGGCAGTTTTCTTGTCTATACATGCTGATAGTAATGTTTAGCATGCCAAATGCTCTGATGTGATACATCAGCATGATGGTGCTCTATGTTCAACAAGGACTGCCTCATCTGATGTATCAACAGAGTAGAGCAAATATCATTCCATACTTATCCATAGTCTTGAGAGTGGAGGATTCAATTGCAGTTCCGAGAGTGAGTCAGATGCAGCATTTAATAGTACACTGATGGTGATGACACTTTTGCAACGTATATGTCCACTAGCTGAGCGAATGCATCAATTGCTCTGCCGCTCAGCCAGAATATTCTCCAAACTGGATGAGTGAATGCTCGTTGACAGATGCATGATCAAAACATATTGCGTAAAAGGTCCGACCTCAGATATCATGTCACTTGATTGATCAGGACGGTACAGAAAACATAAGAGGAAGCGACTGACCTTTGAGTCACAGACTCTCCTCAAGCTCAATCAGCACAAACTCAATTAGCACAGAAGCTGACTATGGTCATCAATAATATGCACTCTGCCATATCTGTCCTGCATATCAGACAAGTTCTTTGGATACGGCTTGTGATGTATGGTGCGTCGCATTTCTTGTAATTTGCTTGAGCTCCTCAGTGCTGACCACAGTTATCTACATAGCACAATTGTCCTTGCTTGATGCTATCACAAAGCACAAAGCACTTAACCCAATTAAGGGCAAGTCTGCTTATGTAACCTGCATAAATGATCCACATATAAAAGCCTACCACAAGGGCTAGGCTGAGGACGTGCGCAGTGGCATACAACCAACAATCAAGGCAGAGCCCCAATGTATGGCTTTGCACAAGTGGTAAAAAGGAAGAGCTGGCCTGCTGGCCACATACAATAGTATGATGAATTTAAGGTCCTCCCTTAGATTCTCATGGGCTTATATACATGTAGGGCTGGACCTTGGTCACTCTAACTTAGGTGTACCTACAGGGGTCTTAGCAAGCTACATGTGGAAGCATTATGCCAGAACCAGTAAGGCTCTGGCAGCAACTATGGCAACTATCTACAAAGGTCGTGGTTATGCCAAGGCAATTCTATCTAAACCAATGAGATAATTGCCTGTAAGTGGGCCCACTGTCGAGGGGGCCAATGGGTGATGGCCAATAGGGCACATCACAATGGTTGTGACTTCAAGTGAGAGGATCTGTCCAAACTTAGAACAATGAGTGGGACGATCAGTCTTTATCTGAATAAGTTATAGGAGGATCCAGCCTATCCTGTCCCTGGCTATACTGTATGCTGGTTGGTAGGGGGATCCTAAGTTGTGGTGTCTGCTTATTGGCTTAGGCGGCAAAGTGGTGCCACTATCTGAGTGACGAATTGGGTGCTTGCTAGATTGATGGTCCAATGAGCTTGAGGGAGCCTATTGTGGGCCAAAGAGTTCCTTTCTGAGCAAGTGGCCTGGTGTCACATGACCAACACCTGACAACTTCCAAATAGGGTAAGTGGCCAGTGTCACATGACTGGGTGGCTGAATCATGGGCACTTGGTGGTTATGTGGTAGACACAGTCGTATCCACAATGTATGTGGCAGTATTGTGCTGTTTGTCCAAGTATCCACTTCGTGAAACCAATATAAAGGTTGGCATCTGAATAACCACTTATGGTTGCCAAATGAGGACTTTTAGTGGTGCAAAAAGAAAGGTGCCACCTAATACTGTGACAGATGCCTTAGGAAAAGGTTTGAAACTGGGACAACTTACAGTTCGGAAGCATGATGAATGTAACGTATTCGGTCAAATTCAACCATTGAATGCTCTCTTCGCTGACGTACAAGTCGCAGATGAGAACTTCTGAATTTGAGTATATTTGTTCCATGATCTCTGATGTAAGCTCAACTGCACTCTGTACTGAACGTGACCGTCTAATTTTCAGTGTCAGTTGCTGAAGCATATATGTCTGGAGATTTTCAAACATCAAACCTAAAAGCTATCCTCAATGTTCATGTTTGATTTCTCGGCCTTGAAGTTACTCATTGATGATTTATTGATAACTCTGGCTGGAGAACCAGCATACGTTAAAGAATATAATTTTCATCTACAGCCACATATACACCATGTTATCATCTCTCACACTTAGATTCTTTGGACGGACCTTGTCAAATGTGAAGTTGAATGCAGTATATCTGCTTTTTGAGAGGTATCCTCTAGACATTCTCAACTTGTCATATTCATAGATGACAGGTTATGACTGTAGCAACAAGTTCTTTTAGGTAAACTTCCATCTGATGGATCAAGTTGTAGTGCATTATGGTCTCACTCTGCCAGAAGTCTTTCTTATCTAGTGAAATGACATATTCCTGTGCTCTGTGGCCAGAGAATCTCAGAGATGTGCATGGTGACCTGGATGGAAGGTCCAATGATAGTGATCTCCATGCTGCCCAAGTGCATAAAATCTACCACCTACTCCATAAGATACACGTGCGTCCCAGTCACAGAGTGCTGGAATTCAGATCTGGTTGAGGTTCACTCATGATTGAGGTGACTAAGTACTATTTCATCTATGAGTCATGATTTTTGACCTTGCTCGTCTTATAGGTGGCCAAGATGGGATGCACCATAGACACTATCACGCTCTCTGCTCAGCAAAAGAAGCTTGCAGATAAAAAGATTGCAGGTGAAGGGCTCTCAGACTGAGTAATTGTCTATCTTCTTGACTATTGCAATCTGCCGCCAAGCTTTGAAAAGGAATTCAATGCTTTTATCAGCATAGAGATGGTTGAGGTCAGTCCATTTTTTGCAATAAAAATCTGCCTACACGCACCAACCACATCATACTAGGCTGTTGAAATTAGGCACCTTCCACAGTACTTCAAACATTGTAAATCGGGCACTCAAATCTGAGCAAGCTGTGACAGTCATAACTGCCACAACTCAGCTGGAGTCGTGTTACACTGAGTATCAGTGAGTCATTGAGCATACCTATCTCGGAACTGTGCATTCCGAATATGAGGTTCCTCCAATGCAGGTCCACAGACTATGCTCGACGCTACCAGTGGCCAAATTCATTCTGCCCATCGGTGATGTCTTTCATGGTGACTGCACAGACCACAACATCCAGGGCATTGGTTCTGGAAAGTGTAAAGGACTTTAGAAAATGTAGTGCTCCAAGTCATGAAGGACGCCGATGACACCTACTCCCTGCTTGAATATTTGTGCATGAAGATTATCTAAGAACATTAAGGGAATGGGGATAGAGACTCCAGAAGAACTGGATGAGAAGACGATTGCTGAGCATCTTCAAGAACAGCTGCAGCTATCAGATCAGAGAGGATTAGAGATGTTTAAGTGCAAATGGGAGTACATGTATGTCTATGCTGAGGTCGGTTATGCTAGGGCATACATGTCGATGCATTACTTCACCTTTGTGCGGCCAGTCAGTCACATTTCCAGTTTACATACATTCATGGTCCTTGCTGATGATGCCATGATGTCAGGAGAATCCATCGGAGTGATGTGATTAGTATGCTGATAGGTGAATTGACAGGACACAAACATGGTGACTGCTCTATATACAGTAACTTTGCCAAATAGACCAGCATCTCTGTCTCATTATTTGGTGTAAGCTTGATAATATATTCATGCCTGGTAGAGTGTTTGTAAAGGATCATGCCTACTGTGGAGCTAAACAGTGCAAGGAAGAATCCTGCATGAAAAAAAAGACATTGGTGAGCTTGCTTTCAAATTCTGTCATCGCCATGCAGCTCACCATATAGGGTGCCCTCGATGATGAGGGCAATGATGACAGCTGCAGTCAAACTGAATGGCATCATGAAGTAAGCTCACAGAGAAGGGATTGAACACACCCTGGGGTGAGCACATAGATACTGAATAAATAACTTTGTCCAGATTACACGCCTCCACATTCTTGTCGACACGTCACTTCTATGCTGTAACCTGAAACTTCTGACCTCTTGAGAAGTAGTGATCTATCAGTATCAATCAGACCTGTGATGCTAGAACCACACAACACACAATGTGGTGTGGGATGCAGGAACCATGAACGAGGTGCTTTGAGACTGCTATCACGATGGAGCATTCTGATTCTAAGTGATCGCAATAATTTGCAAGATAGATTGAGTGAGGACATGATGCACTGATTCTGGGCTGGGAATCTCACACAGGTGAGAAAAGCACTCCCAGGAAGAGATATGGCTCAGAGAAGAATGGAGCGTTGATGTTGTTCAGATCAGGGAATGGATGGAATAAAGGCAACCAGATCACAAGGTGACAACGGCCCAGTGGTATTGATCACAACAGATGCAGTGGTGGGGACGCGAGTGAAGAGGTTCATACCTAGACCTCTGCACTGAATATGAGGCCATATCTGCAAGTATATAGAGTCACTTGAATCTAGCTTAGTACCGTATGCGTAACAAGGATTTAAAGCAAGAAAGGCAAGCTTGAGTCTAGCCTATCTGACAGGTGAGCTTATGGAAATGTGACCAGAATATTAGTGTACTGATGACAGTGCTTGTGCGACACAAGAACTGCCCATTAAGATCATTATTTTGATGAGACTCACTGATGTATTTCCATGCCGAACACTGTGCCAGGCATGAGCGTGTGGTCCCTGCATTAAAATGCCAGGCATTGGGGTGAAAAAAATTCAATAATGTCAGAAAAGATGTTGCAGTATGGGCAAGGGATGCTGTCATTCATTCAAGGCTTTCGTCAGCACAACATAAGCTGTGAAGTCAAGTAAAACTCAAATGTACTGCCACGAAATGTGATGATGATTGCTAATCATGGCATAGCTATTTGAGATAGGTGAGCAGGTAATTTCAACACAAGAGATAATCTAGCTTCTTATCTTCTGTCTTGGTGACAGTTCAGTAAATGAAGTGAAGCGGCACACTGCTCTTCCTGAAAGAGCTCATTACCGAGTTCATTGTCTCATACAGTGCATTGGTACGAGTATATCAGATGATGCGATGAGCTATGGTAATCTGCTTCTTGGTGATGCATGGTGGGATGATGAATTTTGAGCTCACGCTGATCATCCCAAGTGGCATTGATGCAGCAGCATTTCAGCTGCGTCCAGCACTGCAAGAATGACATATATATGTCTTACCGCTTACTCATGCAACATAATACCACCATCCAATCTGATTCTCCTGTTTGCAATGGTAGGTCTATCAATTCGATCAGAATGATTAATATTATGTGTCAATCTGAAATATGCCACCACCTATACCAAGTATTACCTGGGCATTACCCTATATGATGTTCTGTTACATTCACTATGACACTAACAACATGGCAGAAATTGGAGATATGGGCAGTACAGATGATGATACTTATTTGTGCTCGCTCTCAGCTGTTTTGAAACAGCCTTCAATGTCAAAACCTGGAGCTCAGACTCCTATGGAGTCCCCAAGATGTGACGCAAGAGCGAGAGCTGTCATTATAGTACTCTCACGACTTGAACCTTACATGCACTATATATGTCCGCATAAGTGATTCGGACATATATAGCACATGTCGTCCATGTTCACCATGTTCGATATCCACTGATGCTCGTCTCCGGTCCTACTTTAACCTAGTTTTCGAGTGCTAAGGAGGCTCCAGCTTGATAGGTGGTAAAATCCTCTGAGGTCTCATGAAAGATAGGTGTAACTTGGCGATGAAGCTGCATATACTCATCCTATGTGATGCTGATGCTGCTGTCCATGACTCCACTGCAAGGCTGATTAATTTTCTCGTCATCTTTAGAGGCAGCTAGTGCATTATGAAGTATCAACCAGCGTGCTCACTGCATGTGGTGTCACATTGCTGGAAGGTGACGTTATGAATGTTGTCAAGAGTGAAGTTCAGAACTAGCATGAGGAATGAGCGCTAGACTGAACATGTGCTTATTAAGCAGCAGATGAGAAAGAGATGCACTCACCTGACTTACAGCATCACGTCTCTTCTCTCCACCACTACCTCACCTCTAGCTCACTTGAGCCATTTTCACCTCGCTTTCTGCATACATCTCATTTTTCTAGGCAGTCCTCTAGCTTCAACATGACTGAAGATTGCAACCCACCTGCTGCCATTGGAAAATCCACAAATAATGTTGGGAATGCCAGACAGTCTGGTACTCAAGGAGGAACTGGAGGTGGCTGTAGCATAAGTTTCAACCCTGCCACATGGTACGGAGCATCTGCCAAAGTAATCGCAGCTGAAAACAATCAGCACAAGGCAAACAATGCTGATAGAGCCTGCCATCATGCAGGTGGTGATGACACTGATGACGAGCTTCTACTGGATGATGATGGACTCAAGAGGCCAGGTCTAGCTGGCAGCAGCACCACTCCTCCCACTTCTCCAGGTCCATCTGATCAAACCCAGCTTTCTGATGCATTACAAGGCCTTTCTCCGACTCATCAGCAAGCTATCCTCAAAGCGGTCGAATCACTCACTAAGCAGGTGCATACCCCACTGCATACATCGACTCAGTCTAATGGCAGGTCATCAATGGCTATACCTGCAGTCGATGAAAAGTTCTTATCTAGCAGTATCGAGTGCTCTGATGATTTTTTCCAGGACCAAGGCCTCGAACTACTGCCAGCCATCATGAAGCTGCAGCTGGCTCAGATACATGTACCTCTCACTCTGACAATGTCTAGTGCAATTCAAAAAATTCTTAACAGTCCGGCTTCCCTCAAGATGAAGAAGGTTATAATCATAACTGGCCAGAAGCTCGACCTGCTAGACTTTAGCGAGTGGCCGGAAGAGACCTCTCTTTTACAAGAGTGGTTCTTCGAGGTGTGGCAAAACATGCTGAAGCTATACGCACAGATCAGCGATGAGGTCATGACCAACCACCTCTAAGCGCATTTCAACTATCTCCTCGTGCTGCCTGATTTTGCCGATGACCATAAGACCATCTTGCATTTTGACTGTGAAGTATGATGATGAGCGCAGAAATGGGCTGAGCACGAAGCACGAGGCAAGCAGCAGGCCAAGCCTGGATGGCCGACTGATCCTTTGTCATACCAACTGCCTCCCAGACATGTGTACTACACGAGGTGGTCGAAGCTGGCAAATATGGTCTTGACTGAGCAAGGCATGGTCGGGGAGGCAGCTGCGGCTCAGTGCACCTTTCAGAAGAACTGAGGAGTGAAGGCAGTACTGATGATCGAGGACAGACTGCTCGAATGAGCGTAGCGGTATCAGGGTATTAGTTACGGCGTTAACAGGCTACTTTCTCTTACAAGTTTCAGATTTCAGACGTGTTTCAGATATGCTTCTAGTCTCTGGAAGCAGAGCACGGACACCTTCCATAGCAATGAACAGTTCAGCAATGAGCTGTCCATTTTAGTATATAAACCTGGTCACAATTGGCAATCAGAGAAAGAAAAAGAGAGGAAGAAGGGGTCTCGGCAGCAGACTTCTCCACACCTCCACAGCCCTACTCCACTCTACACATCTCATCTTTGATATCTGTCTAATTGCTTCACGATTAAATTGCATTCTATTGACCTCCATAACTTCGTTAATGAAGTCTGCACTATGAACGACTCGCACCACAAGCCCAGGGATATAGACGATCGCCTAGGCTTGGTATGGTCTTTTATGCACAGTCTATTGGTTAACTTGTTCTATCGGAGCCAGGAAGACTTTAGCCGTCACACACTATGGGGAACGAAGCGATCAAATGCACTGAACGAAGTTCAGCTGAGTCCAGCGGTAGCAGATGAGCGAAGTACATTTTAGATATTTGTTTCTCACAGTGCAGATTAGGTGTCCAACTCATATTTGCGATCAGCAAACAAGCACTGAGGTTGATTTGTGAACAAAACACCAACAACCCCAAACAAGAAACTACTAGCACCAAGATGGACACCCGGTCTGAACGATCACACCTAGCAGATTTGCGAACAATCCATTAGCACTCAAGCAGCAGTTGTGATCAAGTAATTGGTGTGCAAACCCCATTTGCGATCAATTCGAAGCACGCGACTGACATAACGTGGGACATTCATTCTTTGAAATGGTAACACACACGTGCTTGAAGCCAGTGTCCTGCCCTAGCCCCAGTCAGAAGACCAGCCAGCTGAATGAAGCCATCTGCATCGTACCTTTTAATTGCACACTTCGGATGATGCCCTCGTCCACCACCCACACACCAACCATCCATAACAAACACATCTCAGAGTCCAGTAGCAAGAAATCTGTGGGCCTTGCACCCTTCAAGAAAAGAGTCATCTCCCTGTACCATCGCACCATCAGAGACAGAGCAGAGCAGTTGATACTTACCTCACTCCACAATGAAGTGATTGGTACTGCCTGACCACGGACCATAGGGAGGTGGCATCAGAGCATATCAATGCCACACTTATATGAACAAATCTGGGCATTTGTGGTGATAACATGAGCATCATCGATGTGTACAAATGCAGCCATGGCTGAAACTTCCAGGTCAACGAATCCATCTGCTGCACCAACCTCATCACTATGTCTTTGAACATTGCTCTTACACCCATCTATGTGAATACCAAGGACAACTTGGCAGACCCAGTCTCTCATGGCATCTCTGATGCTTCACTATCTAAGCTCTTCAGTCTCCCAGATGAGCTTCTTCCGTTCTTGACTGATGCCTAAGTCAACTCTCGAGCACTCTTCCTCTCGAGCCTTAGTGTCGCGCACTACCAAAACAGCACGAAAACTCAAATTCAGTTTCAACATAGCTTTATCTGCTCTTCATCTGCATGTTTCAGCTTCAGACCATCTCACTTTCTGGCATACCCCATACGGCATTCAGCACCACCAAAAACTCACCACGCTGTTTTCTCCTGCATTTGCTACTGACATTTTCAATGTCCAATTATCTACCATCAAGGAGAAAACTCAGACTAACTGTTGAACAATGGCAGCCAAGACCAGTGCCACATCCAATAACTCATGACACCACTTGGGATTTGGGTACAAATGAGCAAGGTAACACTACGTTAACTACCTCCCTTTTAACCATGCCACTTCAGGGCAGGCGGTGCAGCTTGCACACCCAGCGCTTATTCGGCTGCCATTCCTGCAGCCCCTGTACCTGGCTCTGATGCCCCCGAGATCAACTGCTATCCCGCAGTGCCTTCCAGGCCCCAAAAGCCAACACTAACTATGGTGCTGGCCTTATCCGGTTCACCCAATTTTGTGACTCGTACAACATACCTGAACCTGCATGCATGCCCGCTTCTGACATACTTCTTGCTGCCTTTATCACTCACTGGCATGGATGCACTGCATGCACTACAGTAGACAATTGGCTCACTGGCATTCATTTCTGGCATACAGTTCATGGCATGCCATGGTATGGTGGCGATCAACTTCGCACAGTCTGTAAAGCAGTCTCAAAGGCCATTCCAGCCTCCTCGTTCCATTTACGGTGCCCTCCTGTTTCGTTGGAGCACCTTCATGCATTATGCTCTGAACTAGATCTGACCAATGCCTTTGATGCAGCAGTGTACGCTTGTGCCTGTGTGGCATTCTGGTCCATCTGCAGGTGTGCACGCTGCCTTATGATGCATCATTTATTATGCTATTAACCAGCTTATCGTGATCCTATTTTCACAACAGACTTGGTGAATTGACTATTCCTAGCATTGGAAAGTTCAACGCGCGTTATCATGTTTCCTGTGCGAACATACCGAAATTTTGAACACTCGCTGGTGGTGTCGTTTATGCTTCCCTGAAGATTCCTTGGTTCAAATCCACATAGCAAGATGGCGTGGTAATTATCATCTCTGATATCGATGATCCTACTAGCCCAGTGCCGGCACTTCACCATCATCTTGCTGTGAATGTGTCCATCCCATCAAACACTCCTTTCTTCACTTATGAAACTGCCTCGGGGGGCTGGGCTTCACTTATCCGTTAATGGTTCTTGAAACGTTGCAATGCCATATGGACCTCCACTGGTCTCGAATCTGTCACCAGTCATTCATTCCACATCGGTGGCGCAACAGAACTCCTGCTGCGTAGAACACCCCCTGACGTGATCACTGTACAAGGATGATGGAAATTCCATGCCTTTTTAGAGTACTGGCAGCGCATTGAGCAAATACTACCTCTTTTCATAACCAACTCCTTTGACCATTCACGCTTAGAGCTTATGCATAATTCCATGTTGCATTTTCAGATAAAATATGCTAAGTGATCATAGCTAGAACACATATCCCGCGTTGTAATGCAGGCTCTGTTAACTTGCCTCTCACAAAAACCTTCGCGTTGACATATCGGTGACCCAGGTTGAGTAGTTGTGGTGCCACGCCTGTCATGGGTCAGGTGGTGTAGTCGTGCCACCTCTCCTACGGCAGCTACGTGCCACTTGATGTTCGAGAAATGCAGCTTGGTTGGGCTCGGAACCCCCCCAAATCACAGGCCAGCCAATTGGGAGCTTGACCACATGGGGCAGAACCCCAGACACCCATATCCAGACTCCGAGCACCTATCTCGCATGGATGCCTGATGCTCATGCACCCTGGCTGAATCCTCTCACCCCCCCACCCTGTAGTCACATACAATACTTCGTATATTACACTCCTTTATTCATCTGGAACATCCACAGTCATTAGAAAGCAGACAGGACATCCAAGACATGGGCTGCAGCAGAAGCACCTGTGTACATGGGCACTTGTCCTCGATGACTGGCCTGCCCTCGATGAATAGCTAGAGCTCGTCGCACCGCTCTTCACGCACATGTGCTGGCCTTTCTCTTCCAGCTCCTCTACAACTGATAACTTCTCTCCATCCATCCTCCTACTTTCGCTGTGTCCAACTCACCCACCTGTTTGCTACCAGTCCTCCCACTACAGAGCATGCCCCAAAGTCTGTCACTCAGACATTCTCCACCCATCCACTTCCACTCCCCTTGCCTGCTCCTGCCACCTCGACTCTTCTATAGAACAACTCAACTTTGCTGACAGTGTCATGTCAGAAATGTGGTGAGAAGATGCCTATGCTTGAAGAATTGAGTGCATCGGACTTGATAGAGATGCGGTCTTCCAAGCTCGAGCAAAGGGACACTCGCCAACAGTATGTCCCTGTCCACACTGATCATATCATTATACATACTGACCACGACCTCATTGTATACAGTGCACCTGAGGTCAGTGATCTTTGCTCCCAGTCTGGCTCAACAAACTGATGTAACGGCATATAGCTCAAGCACCTTGATGGGCTGATCAAGGCAGTTGAGGTTCAAGCTGAGCCGCGCGACTGCAATGCCCACATCACGATCAACTGTCTTCCTTCTGAAGTGCTCCGGGAGATATTCTTGATGACCTGCATCGTCAAGCTGGCTCGATACAGATCTTCGCACTATGCATGGCCAGACATTACTACCGTCTGAAACCCAACCTGAATTAAAAAGCGCAGAGCCATCAGGCTCATGCTCATCTGCTATCGTTGAAAAGAGATTGCCTTGGAAATTCAGGAGCTCTGGAATGGCATTGAAACATATCAGCAACATATCTTGTTGGAGAGGTCCAGCTGAGGCCCACTCAAGGTGCTGGCTTGGGGTGAATTGAAACCCCATTATGCTGTTGCGCGCGCTCTTCAAAATGTGGAGCATTCATCCCGAATCCAAGAGTTGTACTGGATAGGGCCCTCACCACGTGAGAACAATGAATATCTTCGAGAATATCTTCAAATGCCAGCACCCTCGCTGAGGTCTCTTGTGTTGCAAGATTGCCAGAGTCATATGCCAGATGGATCACTCGAACTATTCGACAACCACACTCCGTGTCTGAAGTGCCTGTCACTGTCAACCTCGTTTTGGCTGCCCAGCAATGTGTTTGCCAAAATGACATTCTTGGCTCTCTACAATTGCCTGGTACCTAAAGCTCCCATCAAATTATGTAGCTTGCTTGCTGGAACACCGAACCTAGTCAATCTCATCCTGCAAGGTTGGTTGACAATTGCCACGAGTATGTCCGAGTGGAAACTGAGTCTGGGGACATGAAGCCTGTGTTGCTTGCTCAGTTGCGCCAGTTGATGATCGGAGTTATGTGGGTTGATCACATCGATTATGTCTTCCGAGATGCTCACCTAAATGAAGACATGTCCATCTCAATCAAAGCAATGATAGAGAGTGTTTATGATAAGCAGCGACTTTTGGAAGGGGTATCCAGTTGGTCGTTGACTGCCTTGAAGCAACTCAAAGAACTGCATTTCCAGCTGCACATCACCATCATCACTGGAGCCTCTTCTGGTTTACATTTTGAGGACTGAAGCTGCACGACCCTCCAAGATTGGACTGCATTCAACTGGCCACAGGTCCTTTCCCTTTCCAGCATCTCTCACCTGTGCACATTTGATGGAAAAGCATGCAGGCCAGCTGGTCTTGAACGTATCCACAACCTTCTTATGCAGATGACTGCATTCGAGACACTTTCCTTCAACATTGAGGTCCTGATGAAGATCGTCGACATACTCACACTCTTCTAAGACCCGATCGACCCGCCTCTCTGTCCCACACTGACCACACTACGTATCACCCTCCAAAACAATAGCGATTGTGACATCATCCTGGACTTGATCCTCCCGCATCATGCACAGCTTGCCATCAAGCACCTTTATATCGGGTTGATCGATCCTCAGAATGAACGCTGGAGCCCTCGTCAAGCTCTGAAAGACTAACTGTATGGCAAATTCGAGTCGGTGGATTTTGAGATGCTGTTGCATGATAAGGCATACAACATTACTTTGCCACTGGTTTGTAGTGAGGAGGTGCATCGTTTGTGGCTGCCCTGGCTTTAGGTGTTGTGTTGATGAGAGATTCGGACATGGATTGCAGTGAGACCAAACGTACACTCATGTCAATTCATCTACAATCATCACACACCTCATACACTGGTAATGGAATTAAGAATCAGGTAGAAGCGCTGAAGTCACACAACGCACCAGATTCAATCAGCGAGTAGTACATGTAGCTTCGGAAGTATCGGTATGAGAAGAAGGATATCACAGCATACACAGCAGGCATGTACAGGACCCGGAGGCTGTTGCAAATCGTCACCATCCGAGATGAATCAATGGAGACACGAGGCGAAAAAGAGGGAGGAGCAAGTACATCTGTCGCTGCTCCCCAGGATTGGTATAATGTCTGTGAAGCCTGACATCAGCCTGTCAGCATGGGGATCAAACTCAAGGGTTCTCGCCTAGCGTGTTCATGCAGCACATTGATCATGGTGAGAAGAACTGTCTGATGAATGCGCGTTCATTCCAGTGAACTATGCACAGCCACTCTGTTTCCAAAGAAAAGATGTACAACCACCACACAGATGCCAGCGATGAGCCAGCCTACTCGGTGTGCATCCCAATCGATACTGTTATTGCTCCAGAAACTACCCTGCTCCACCGTCTCGGTGTTGTCAGATGGGCATAATGTTGAGTTCACCATTTACTGGGGTCAATCAACGAGTATCTTGGAGTCGACTTGAGGGTGGAGTGGCTGTATAACAAGGTGCTCGTTGTAAAGGTGGTATGTGGGTCGAAACAGTGTCTTATCGTGAATGTAAGCCCTGTGCAAATCACAAAGAGAGAATCGAGAGCAAAGAAATTGTAGCACAGGTTTGAACTTTGAAGGAACACTGCCTTGTTGTCACAGCCTGCTGCAAAGAGCACTAAATCCGATGCTGTGCAGCGGCTGAGACTAGCGAAGACTGGAGAAAACTGCTGACCCAGGCTTGCCAGTGGTGAGATGAGCAGTGAACACAGCAAGTGAGCGTAACCAAGAGCTCGCTTAGTCACAATGGAACTGCTGGACACGGCCATGGTCGATGTACAAGAACAAAGTGCAGGCAGCCACCATGACCGTAACTGAAAGCACTCTGACCTCATATTTTAGCGTTGAACCCAAACAAGCGCATTTACAAAAGCATGTGCTTCGAGACTTCAAGCTTCGGCTTCGACCCACCAGTGGATTGTTACTGCTGCATGAAACTGAAAGAGTCTCTGCCAGAGAACGCCTTTCTGATTCACAGTTCCGCTAGTATGTATTGTTGTTGAACACCGTAGACTTTTGATCACAAAGTTTTACTAGCAACACAGCGTCCACAATAATCACTTCTGCACGACTTGCTGTTATGAAGCATTCTCTGCTAGAACGTTCAGAACCACGTGTGCTTTCTCACATGTACTAGTCCACAATGTGGACGGAGACTTAGATATAGAATATACCTAATGCCTCCAATAGTCACACAGACTATTAGCAGGGTTTATAGTGTTGTCAATGCCTAGTAGACGATGTAGCAGTGAGGTCCTCACTCTACCCTTGCTA